CAAAAAATTAAGTCAGCAGAGAGTGAGCAGCCACCAGACAAACATATTCGTTTTCTAGCAAAAATTATACATCTAGCATATAATCAGTGCACATGATCAAATCACAATTCCAAAAACTATCAACCAGCGAGAAGCAACCATGGATTAACAGAAAGGAAAAAGCTACACCGCGTTGGTCTCTTTTAGCCAAGATCAAGATGCATACTCCTTTTAGTTGTCACACTTAATTTTTTTTTATTTTTTATCACTCTTACAAAATAAATTATTAAATTTTATAAAAATACATTCATTATAGGTTAAATTTTCTTTATTTTTTTTTAAATAGGTTTGAAATGGGGGGATGGATCAAACCCAGCCCCACAGGATTAGATGCACCTATCAAGGCAAAATGCCGCTAAACCAAAAGATTAGGTCCATTATAGGTTAAAATTCTATATTTACTTTTAGTAAGTTAAATATTTTAAAGGTAAATTTTAAAAAAGATATAGTATAAATTTTAACTTTTTTTTTTTAAAAAAAAAAGAAGACTTTTAAGGTACTTATTCTAAATATAATGTTTTAATTTTTAAATTTATATGAGACAAAAATTAGCTTAAAAGAAAGTTTACTAAAAAAGCAAACCTGGAGGTCAAGAGCACCAAGCCATGGCACATAATCTGCGATGTTGAATCCCCCACTTAAGTTCAACCCCTCTTCAACGGATTCCTTCAACTTAAATCTCTCATCTTTACTTCGCCCCAAAATCATCTTATAGACCATGTTCTCAGCAAGTTCACGCACCTTGTCACTAAGGTCGACCACCTCACCGGCCGCCGCCGCTTTCCTCAGTGACTCCACCAAACACCCCAGCTCCGCCCTCCTTATTGGCCCAAAGAATTCGATTTTCGACGGGCTAAGCAGCTCTAGAGTAACCAGCTTCTTGATGTCTCTCCAGTATGAACCGTATTCTGCAAAAATCATGCCCTTGCTATTGTATGCCATGTATTCTACGGCTTGGAGTTTGGGTCTGCTGGCAAAAATGAGATCATGGGTTTTTAAGAATAGCTCAGCAGCGCTGGGGGAGGATAATACCACGGTGGGTACGTTACCTAGCCTTAATGACATTATGGGGCCATATTTTTTGGCTAATTGATAAAGGGTTTGATGTGGGAGGTTGCCAAGCATGTGTAGGTTGCCGATAATTGGCAAGGCTCGGGGGCCAGGTGGAAGTTTCCGATCATATTTGCGGTGGACGGTGCGTAGTATGTGAAGAAATGAGTAGAGAGATGCAAGGAGGAGAAAGACAAGGGTTAATGTTGCGGTAGACATTGATATTTTCTGATGATGATAGCATAGGGCTTACGGACCCAAGTGATTCCTCTTTATAGAATTTCCTAATGATAAAAATGGAAGGGCTGATCTAATGCGATAAATGATCTGGGACCTAACTGGGTGGAGTTACCAACGTGATGATATTGATATTTTTGATTGAGACACTTGACTGTTTGTAGGGTAGAATAGCTTTAACAATTACCGAACAAAGGGTTAATCTAACCTGGATCATTATGATTGGGACACGTATGTTTGTAGAGAGGAGT